ACTCCCAGGTCCCTTTCTGCCTGACTGCTCTCCAGCCACTCTGTCTCAGCCTGGAGTGCTGCATGGGATTGGTATGGCCAAAGTGCAGGACCAGCACTTGGCCTTGTTCAACCTCATCCCGTTGGAATCAGCCCATCTCTCCAGCCTAACCAGGTCTCTCTGCAGAGCCCTCCTGCCTTCCAGCAGATCCACACTCCCTCTCGACTTTGTGTCATCTGCAAACTTGCTGATGGTGCACTCAATCCCCTCATCAACAAAGATATTAAAGAGCACTGGGCCCAGCACTGACCCCTGGGGAACACCACTAGTGACCAGTCACCAATAAGATGCAGCACCGTTCACCACCACTCTCTGGGCCATCCAGCCAGTTCTGAACCCAGCAGAGACTGCCCCTGTCCCAGTCATGGGCTGCAGCTTTTTCAGGAGTGTGCTATGGGAGATGGTGCCAAAGGCTTTGCTGAAGTCCAGGTAGACTACATCCACAGCCTTCCCTTCATTCACCAGTATGGCTCAGCCCATCCCACCTGGGCCAAACTCTCTTCTCCATCAGACTGCTATACCCGAAGCATCTGCTCTGATGGGGGACAGCTACTCCAGCTTCAAACCACCAGGCAGAAAGCAGAGGTGGGTCCAGCAGGCAGGTATAAGTGCCCTGGGATTTATTTCTGATGCCCTTAAGAGTGCCAGGCACTGTTCTCTGGGTATTTCACCCCTGGTGAAGGTGGTTGGGGCAGCACATACTGCAGGTGAAATGGCCACGGGTGATGCCGCAGCAGTGCAGGATTTAGTCTGGCTGAGCTCATGAACAGTCATTGTATCTCCTTTGCAAGCACCCTTGCTCCACCCATTTCTCCAAATAACTCCTCTGTGAGACAAGTGCTGCGAAACAGCCAAGCAAAAGGTGTGAGGGAGCTGAACAAAACGGGAGCCAAGGGTAGACTGCTGCTTGCTTTCCAAAGTGTTGCTGTGGACTGAGGAAAGCTCTGTGCAATGCAAATAAAATGCACTGCACCTCAGCAGGCCCCTGTCGAGTGTTACAGCGACAAGGGAAGGGAAAAGCAAACAAAACCATATTATTAATGGTTATTAAAAGGCACTTGTAAGTAGAGGCAGCGTGGGCTAGTAGTTATACCACTGTGTGCAGAAAAACAAGCCTATTCCTGGCCCTCGCAGCAGCTGTGGGCTGCCTCCCCCACCTTCCCTCACTCCCTGCCCTTCTCTGTGAAATCACCTGGAGGGACAGTAACACTACTGATCTTTCTTGCTTTGAGATCAGCTAGTGGAGAGTGCTCCACCACTGAGGGGGCTGTTGCTCTAAATGGTATATCCATATCACCAAGACACTGCCTGGTGGTCACAACGTCTGTCCTAACCCTTTGCTGCTGCCCCGTTGTGCTGCCCTGAAGTCACCAGGGGAGCTCCATCTCTTGCTTTGCTAGCTCTGAGCCCTGATGCCATGGCAGTGGTGCAGGCACTGCCCACCGTGGTGCTCAGAGCTCGGCACTGCCCCACACTTACACCAGTTAAAGCGGACGCCCAGCTTGGCAGGCTGCTTCACATCCATGTGCATGACTTCTCCTTCAGCTTCATTGACTTTGCCATTGGAACTAAGGGGAGAATGACAAAGGTGAGAAATGGAGTCAGGAGTGTGGGAAATAATAATTTATTTTTTTTGCTTCCACTAAATTATCCCTCCTGACACATCCACCTGCCAAGAGGTGGCTGAAACAGGTACTAGTGAACCTCAGCATCCCCGGAGGGACAGCTTGCCCCTGAGGGCAGCTTCTGCAGCACTCAGGGAACAGCAGATCCTGGGTCAGGTGCAGTGAAGAAAATGTTCTTCCAGGTTAAACCACCCCAGCACTCCAGACTGCCTCTCTCCAAGTGCCCCTGCCAGCCAGGTGTCCTTTGGTGCCAGGGTGACAGTGACAGAGAAGGAGAGCAAACCCCCTCTGCACAGGGTGGGAGGATCCCAGCACTGATCATGGATGTGCCAGAGAGCAGCTCAGCTCCTGCTGGTTGTGAAACATACATGTTCATGTCTGTTTAATCACCTGCATTCTTTCCAGGTCACATTACTCCACACACAAATTACTGGTACCTACTTGGTGAGCCAGGGCTTGTTTGGCTGCTGGTTCAGAGCACTGCCTTGCTGGCAGCAAGCCCTACAGCTTGGGCTGCATATCTCATAATTGCATTTTTCCCTGGATGCCCCAAGACCTGGACTCTGCCTGTAGGGCAGGAAAGTTTCACTCTTCCTTGTGAAATAGGAACAGCCAAGGAGGCAGAAATAATTCTGGCAGCAGCAGCAGTCAAGGGGCTGATGCTGGAGCCATGCACAGCACACACCTAACATGAATATTTTATCAAGAATATTTTTTGATATTTCAGGGTCCTGAGCTGCTGCTATGGTGATAGGAATGGCTGGATTAATATCCCATGGATTAATGCAGGTGCAAATGAATGTCCATCTGTTTGCCAGGCACTGCCCAAGCAGTAGAGTTTCTGAGACAGCACTGGGCAGTCAGCCAACAGCATGGATGCTGCTCCCCGCTGGACACAAGGGATGTGTTCCTACGTTGTTGTCATTGTGAGCCAGAACAAAGTCCCCATGCCACGCCAGGAGCGCAGGGGACAGCGCTGCATTCTCCGCTCACTCCCTCTCATTCATTCAGCCCCTCACAGCAGCAGCCCATGACAGCCAGTGCTAGTGTTGGAAACATGAATTAATACCTACATCTGTCCCTGCACAAATCCAGGAGGGCTCAGGATAATTGTAAACTATCAACTATAATAAAGGAAAAAGCATTCACTTTGCCACTGATTTGAACTGACAATTACCAATGCCCTTACACAGCAGTTACTACCTGTGCAAGGTAAATGCTCTGGAAAAAAATCTGACAAATGTTTGCTTAAGTAAAAATGATCCATGTGCTTCACCTTCCCTGCACCTTTGCACTGGGTCCCTTTACTCTGGAGCAGAGAGGAGCACAGGGCCCAGGCACCAGTCAGTATGCAGGGGCACAAAGTGGTGACTGTCATCCCCTACCCAGCTCCATGAGCCCCAAACAGGACCCAGGGCATCCAGCTTCTCAACCAACACTGGGGATCACACACCAGCCAGGGGCGAGACCCAGACTATTTCATACTGGAGTCACCATATGCATTTGATCTATTTTCTCGTCACTCACCTAGGACAATGAGAGGGAGACCTGATGATCCCCAGGGAAGCATTGGCAGGAACCAGAGACCCAGATCTCTGCAATAACTCCAGCAAATCCTCTTATCCCAGCAGATCTACAGCAACCACAGGGGGCCTTCCCCAGCACCCACAGACCCAGAAACAGGCAATTTAGAGAAAAATTATTACCGAGGACAGCAAGAGAGGTG